TCCGACAGCGCTTCCGGTAGACGCAGAAACAACAGCCGAAGACGAGGAGGCCTGAGACCAGAACGATTGCGGCCAGGGCCCAGGGGGGTACTGCAGAGGGCATGGAGACAACACTCATTGAGGCCCTAGGAAGCAAGCCGGCTGATCCAGTCCGAATTACACGTGGAAGCTGGAATCCTGGCCTTGTTTTCCCTCCGGCCTTTTCCATTCCGTTTTATTGCCGTGTTTTCCTTCCAACTGCTCTCACCTATAAAGCGATCCGGTGCCCTATTCTAGGCTGACAACGTCCAGATTCTCTCACCTGTTAATTCCATCTCCCCTGCCACCCCCATTCTAATTTCTGCTCAACCCCTGACGCGTTTGGAAGCCATGCCCCCCCCCCGGCCTCAGTTTCCCTATCTTTAAAAGAAGTCAGAGGTGGACAGTCCAAGATCCCATTCCATTCCACACTCTTTGACCTGGTTCTCGATTTTCTTGTCCATTTCACTTAAGAGTCAAGCCCAGGATTCCCACTGCAATGCCACCCGGATTTGCCTGCCCGCCGGCCGAGTACACCCCTTCGAATCCCGCCCCTGAGAATCCCAGCCGGGCTTTCCCTTCGCTCTGGCCCCCGAGGCTCGCTCACCAGGGCCGTGGCCGATGCGACTCGAGTCAGGAGGCGTGTCGGGCGCTGGAGGCCCTGGGGTTGGGGGCTCCGAGAACATGCCGGCGAGGTCTTACGGTCCTTTCTGCGGAGGCACCCAAGAGCCCTAGCCCCCCACGCCCACCCGGTGCTTTCTGTGAAGCCGCCGAACAACCAAGAACTCCAATTCCCATCGGCACCCTGGGCGGCCGGCCGCATAGGAATCAGCCAGCAGCCGCGAGGCATGCTGGGGGTTGTAGTGTCAGCCTCCCCGCGACGGAGGGCGGGCGCCAGGGGTGGGTTCCAGGACCTAGTTCCATCCCACAGGGACGCCCCCGCCCTCCAAGGCCCCGCAGGAATCCCGCCAACTTCTACCCCTTCCGTGCCCGTCCTCGCGGGCCTGAACCGGAAGTGGGCAAAGGCGGGCGTGAGAACCGGAGCCCTGGGTTGCCCCGAGCAACGGGTGGCTGGTTCGGGCAGGGCGGGAGCAACGATGGTTGCCCTGGCAACGGGCTGTTGCCAAGACAACGGGCGGGGCTGACGTACAGGCAGAGTCCCCGCGCGGCAGGCTCGCACCTCGCCGGGTCAGGACCCCAGCCCCCGATCCCGCGCAGAGCGAGCGTGGGGAGAGGGCGGCCTCGCCCGTCGGTCTACGCGCCCTCGGCTGGCTCCTCCCTGCACATCTGGCCCTGCGGGCAGAGACTCGGGCTCCCCGCCCTCCCCCGCTCGGGCCGAGGGCTCCCTGCTGCCACTGCCGGGGGGGGGGGGGATGGGAGGGGGTCTGTGGGGGCGCACATCCTTCCCGGCCTGCTGTCTCTCCCGCGCATCCCGAGCTCTGTCTTTACACCTGTCTTCGTGACCGCCTCGGCCTCCACACCTCTCTCCACTCCCTATTTCTATCCATTCCCCCACCCGCCTCTCGCCGCGCCCCTGTCTGTGTCTCCCTTGTCCTCCGCCTGTGGTCTGTTCTGTCACTCCAAGGGTCTCCCACTCTCGCCCCCTGCTTGCTCCTCCCTCCCCTCTGCTTTTTGTCTCCAGACCTTTCTCTAAATCCCAATCTCCCCATTTCAGGCTCCAGTCCTCCCACTCCCTCGGTCGGTCCCTCCCCAGTGCCCCTCCTCGCCGCCCCCCACACACACACCACGGCTCTCTAGGGATGGGGATGAGGAGCGGGCTTAGGGAGGGCCTCCCAGAGGCTCCTACCTGCTCGGCCGCTGGACGGGACCCTCGCAGGAGACACCCAGGCGCCGGCCCCGCCCGGACCCCGCCCCCGCACGCGGGCGGGTGGCGCTGTCCTGGGTGCTGATCGCCGCGCTCGGTGGGGCGGGGGCGCGGCAGAGCGGAGCCGGCTGGTGAGTGCGTGTGTGCGCGCGCGCGTGCGTGTTAGGTCCCGGGTACAGGGAGAGTCCCATCCCGCCCCTCGTCCCGCCCCCGGCCAGGAACCACTAGGGTGTCCACGGATATTTATCCTGGTCCCCGAGGATTTTCTGTTTTCTAGTCCAGCTGTCTGGCATCCAGGCCCCCTTTCTCCACCCCCGCCCTCGCCAGGATACCCAGTCTGAGGACCCCGGAGCCTCTCTCCGGAGACCCAAGCAGTCAGCTATCCAGACACAAGACTCAGCCTGAAAGTCTCCAGTGAAGCCGCCCCAGACCTCACCCCACCCTCTAGGTTCCCCCCGGCACCAGGCCCGGGAAGCAAGCCCTTATGCTCCTAGCTTCAGCAAACGGCGTCCACACTGCCCAGACCCTGCACACAAGTATGGACCTCTAACCCTCTCTGAGAGACTCAACCATCCAAACACATTTTTTTCGGGTACCGAATTGTGGGTCCTTCTAGCTTCTCTCCCAGGACATTAACCTCAGTACCTGAAAATCAGGAATCCAGCCCCATTCCCACCCCAGACCCAGAAATCCACTATAGCAAGCCTCTCTGGGGAGAATAGTGATTTAATAAATTATGGGATAGAAGAAAAAGATCTGTACAAGCAGTGGGGTGCAGGGAAATCTCAGATCCTAGGAGGCTGATTTGGTTTCCGGAGTAAAACATGGCATGGATCCTGCTGCCCTCACTCCTGGGGTAGTTAGAATTCCAGACTCTAATTTCTTCCTTCCTCGGGATCTAGCTTCTTTAAGACCCTGCAGCCTGAGCCCCCAGCCTCCTCCTCCCTCAAAGAATGAGAAATCCTAGCTCCCATCCTTCCCTCCTTGGAGGAACCAGGAGTCCAGGATACCTGCTCCCACCTGCCCTCTCTCTTCCAGGGAAACAGTTTAGGCTGCCAGGCCCCTGCAAGACCCCAGAGTCTGGGACCCCAGCCTTCTGCTGTCCCAGGGCTCCAGGAGTCTGAGCTGAAGTGGGGATCCAGAGTTCGAGTCTAGCTGGGCTGGGGTCTCAGCCCTTCTGGGGCTCAGACATTCTCATACAGCAGGTTCTCATACACAGCCCCGTTGTCTGTTGGGGCTCGGCCTGACTGCTGGAGAAATCTCAGGATGCACTGGTGCAGGAACACATACTGGGCCTGGGGAGGGGCACGGGGTAGGGGGTGAGCCTTGGCCTGCTTCCCCCCTCTTCCAGAGCCCCCCACCCTGTGCCCTCAGGAGCCCCATCACCTCAGTGTGCACCATCAGAGGCCGGCTTTCCCTCATCTTCTGCACATAGCTGAAGGGCCCTACACATCCATCCCGTTCCAGCTGCCTCAGCAGGACATCCGAGGCAATGAGGGTGCCCGTGTGGCCCACGCCAGCACTAGACAGGAACAAGAAAGGGTCAGGCCACAGGAAGGGGGAGTCTTGGCTGATAGGAGGGATCTGTGTTTGGAACACCCAGGATCGGGGTACTGCTCAGCAAGAACAATTCTGGGGGATACAGTGTTAAGTGGGGGTTATTTAACGGAGTGAAGAACCACTGCGTGTGACTATACCTGGGCTTCCTCCTGTCTGCCAGGCCCTGCCTCAAGTGCCTGACATGCCCTTTACTCTTTCCCCGGCCTTGAGAAGTTGGAGCTGCTAGCCCACCCATTTTAGAGACGGGGAAAAGGAGGCTGAGTGACATGAGGTCACTTGTGTGTCCTGGGTCGCTTGGAGAGTGAACCACAGAGCTGGAGTTCACACTTGAGAAAAGGAACTCCCAAGCTGATTGTTCCAAAAAATAATGTTTACACATCAAACTGACCATTTTAAAGAAAACAATTCAGTGGCATTTAGGACATTCACAATGCTGTGTGCCCACCAGGTTTAATTAGTTCCCAGACAGTTCTATCTCCCCAGAAGACCCTGTGCCCATTAAGCAGTCCCTTCCCCTGTCCCCCTGTCCCCAGCCCCTGGTGGCCATCGAGCTGTTTTCTGGCTCCGTGGATTTTCCTATCCTGGACATCTCTTGCAAATGGGATCAAACCATGCGGGACCTTTCGAGTCTGGCTTCGTTCACTCAGCATCATGTTTTCAAAGTTCTTCCACATCCTCGAATGAATCAGTACTTCATTCCTTTTTACAGTTCAAGTTAATCCTCCTAACCACTCTGCAAGAGTCCCTTCTGTGCTTGCAGGGGAGGGATGACCCCTCGCTGGGGACAACTCCAGGGGGCGCTATCTGGGGACAGGGCAGGTGTTAGGACACACTTCAGCAGAGAGCTTAAGGGTGCCACCACGGGTGTCAGTTCGGCCACTTGCTAGCAGCCTTGAACCCAAGACTTCAGCTTTCTGACTGGGTTTCCCCAGCTCTGCAGCAGGGAGGAAACCTCTTTGGTCCTGAGGCTGCCCTGCAGACCAGGGAGACCGAGGCTGTCCCTGCAGCCTGAGCTCCATTTCAGAGGCTGTCTGCCCCTCTGGAGCAGGCTCCTTGATTCTCGCCCCCACCCCCACCCCCGGCCCAGAACCTCACCTACAGAGGTGTCAGGATCAATATCAGGAGAATGGTGGATGGGGTGAGGTCCGGGGCACGCGCTGAGGTGTTTCAAATGCTTCTCAAAACCTCTGGCTGCTTGTCCCTCCTGCCCTTCACCCCTCCCTCCCTTCTCTCTACCACTGCATTCCCCTCCTTGACCTTTCCCGTCTTGTCACCCCATCCTCATGTCCCTCTGCCTCGCTGCCCCTTTGCCTTCTGCCTCCACGTCCTCCATCCACTCCCCCTCTCTTCCATCTCCTGCAGAGATGCCCAAGGACCCACTAACCCAGGTTCCTGAGTCCCACGGGGGCGGTGCCCTCACTGTGAGGGGGTCCTCACCTGCAGTGCAAAATGGGGGGCCTCCCACCGTGGTCTTGTCCAGCCCATGCCGCAGCATCTTCCAGAAGACCAGCATGGGGTCTGGGGAGTGGGGGACGCCGTGGTCTGGCCAGGTCACGTAATGGAACTGACACACTGGTAGTGTTTTCTGCTCTTGCATCTAGAGGGAGGGTGGGTTGGGGAGGGAGAGCTCAGGACCCCCGGGGGGGCTGGTTTCTGAGTGGCGGGGGGCATCCCTGGGCATGCTGTGGTCCCCTGGGAGAGTGACAGAAGGCTCAGCCTCGGGACGGGTTCGGAGGCACGGAACCCGGGGGATGGGGCCGGCCGAGTACCGCGGACTCACGTGCTGGAGCTTCAGGTCTCGGACTGTCCAGTCCTCCAGCACCTCCTCACCCTCCAGCGTCACTTGTAGGTGCCCATGTGTGCAGGGCTTGGCGTCGAGAGGCCAGTAATGCTCACACTTCACCTGGGGGCAAACTGGGAGGTCAGAGAACGGGAGGCCCCAGACAACCTGTCCCGGTGCCCGTCTACACTGTGGCGCTTGCATTCAGCGCCTAGTAAGGAGGCAAGACCCCGGGGCAGCCAGGTTACATTCATCCCAGCCAGGGGGACCCCTCCTTCCCCAGGTCATTGGGTTATATGGACCAAGGGATGGGCTGGGGTGACTGGAGGAGGCTGGGGTTGTATGGGAGGGAATCAGCGAGGTCTGGGTCAGGGTGGACAGTGGGATCCGTGTCCTGGGCCTGGTTGTGGGTTGGAGCTCAGGGGTCAACACCGAGACCCCTGCAGGGCTCTCACCTGGCGGGATTCCACACAGTTGGTCAGCATGACCAGGGTGCCGCTCTGCTGCTCCCACACCAGGCGCCAGAAATCACCCACCGTCTGGGGCAGGGGGCCCTGGGCTGCAATGAACTCCTGGGGGTTCTCAAGACCCTGGCGGAGGGAAACAGATTGCAGTCCTTCCCACCTCAGCGTCACTCAGCACCCTCCTGGCTCCCAGCCACAACCTTACAGGCATGAAGCTGGCATTGATGTAGTCTGAGTCTGGCTCCTCCTGGAGGGGCTTCAGGGGCACACGAGATCAGTCACCTGGGGGAGGAGGCCAGCATCAGTGAAGCGGGGGGTGGGGGGGAGACCCAGGAACAGAAGCCACGCGGAGGGCAGGCAGGCACTGGGAGCTCCAGGAGGGGCCAGCGGTGCCCACCTCTCGGGGGCAGGAGCTTTGTGTCTCCTAGGGGACGGGGGACGGGGACCCGGGATGGGGTGTTGACAAAGTCATGGCTGGGGATGAGGTCAGCAGAGGCTTAATAAGACTCACAGGGCAGCACGTTCCTGTAACGGTTCTTGGCGGTTTTCCGGAGCTGAGGCCACCGTTTGAGACCAACTGGGACTCTCCAGAGCCAATTGCTGGGGGCAGAGGCAGAAGGGGAGGTGCACAGGCATTGGAATTTCTCTACCTTCCCCCGAGGGTACCCCCGTTCAGCACCACCCCACTCACCCCCACGCCCCAGAATTCTGTAGCACCCACAAAAATAAAGCATGTGTACCCCATCCCCGCAGGGCACTCGGGAGGGTTTGGGGCACAGTGGGGGCTGGAGAGGTAGGAGAGAGAAGAGGCATCAGGGGAAAACCACGGTGTTTCTTCAGCACTGACCCGAAGACCGAAGACCGGTCATAGGGTAAGATTTTGCAGAGGCCAAAAAAAGAATCCCTTGTTTGCATAAGCAAACAAAACAGGTGGCCCAGCTTTAGTTTAATCCCAAAAGGTGCGGGGGGGGGGGGGGGGGGTAGGTCGGGGTGGGCACGTGGGGCTCAGCTCCACCCCCTCGCTCCCCGTGCACCTGGTACTCCTCCCCAAAGCCACAATTGCTGTCCTTCTCATTTTTCCTGACATGGTCAACAAAGTCTTCCACCAGGATGTCCTCTGAGAAGCTGTGGGAAAGGGGCAGAATTTAACCTCCTCCAGTCCTGTGCTCTTGGGATGAGAGAAAAGCCTCCCCCCGCTCCCCCCTCCCCGGTTGTTAAGTGTTTCTTAGCATCCCCAGGACCTATTCATCTTGTAACTGGAAGCTTACACCTTCTGATCCCCTTCACCCAATTCACCAGCCCTCCTCCCTTTGCCTCTGGTCTCGGTTTCTAATAACTCAGTTTTTTTTTAAACTTCAAATACAAGTGATGTCATGCAGTATTTCTCTTTCTCACTTATCTCACTTAGTATCATGTCCTCAAGATCTGCACACCGTGTCCCCAGTGTCAGGATTTCCTTTTTTTTTTATAGTTTATATTTAATGTCATTTTCGATTAATCTTCAGTATTTCAGAAAATATGCCTACCGGGGCGCCTGGGTGGCTCAGTTGGTTGGGCGACTGCCTTCGGCTCAGGTCATGATCCTGGAGTCCCGGGATCGAGTCCTGCATCGGGCTCCCTGCTCGGCAGGGAGTCTGCTTCTTCCTCTGACCCTCCCCCCTCTCATGCTCTCTCTCTCTCATTCTCTCTCTCAAATAAATAAATAAAATCTTAAAACAAAACAAAACAAAACAAAACCAGAAGACCTATTGGGGCGCCTGGGTGGCTCAGTTGGTTGAGCGACTGCCTTTGGCTCAGGTCATGATCCTGGAGTCCCTGGATCAAGTCCCGCATCGGGCTCCCTGCTCGGCAGGGAGCCTGCTTCTGCCTCTGACCCTCCCCCCTCTCATGTGCTCTCTCTCTCTCTCTCATTCTCTCTGTCTCAAATAAATAAAAATTAAAAAAAAAATCTTTAAAAAAAATGTGCCTACCATACTATTTTACACACTATATATAAAATATACATTTTTTTAAGATTTTATTCATTTATTTAACAGAGAGAGAGAGAACAAGTAGGCAGAGAGGCAGGCAGAGGGAGAGGGAGAAGCAGGCTCCCCGCCGAGCAGGGAGCCCGATGCGGGGCTCGATCCCAGGACCCCGGGATCATGACCTGAGCCGAAGGCAGCGGCTTAACCGACTGATCCACCCAGGCACTCCTAAAATATACATATTTTAAAAAATATTTGACCAACTACATTTTTAATATTTATGAGCTATTTATGAGTCATGAATATACATTTTGTCAGATTTATAAAAGGACTGCATATTCTTTTTTTTTTTTGTAAACAAAGATGGAACTTTCTTTTAGTCCACATATGACCATACAGGTATTTTGAGTACTATATAGTTTGTGCTATTACTTGATATACTTTTCCTAGAGAACCCCTGAGTAGGAAAACGCTTAACCCCAAAGCTTTTCTTTTCTTTTAAGGCTGCATCATACTCCATTATATATACACCACATTTTCCTGATGCATTCACCCATCAGTGGCCGCTTCGGTGTCTCCGAATCTTGGCCATCACACCTAACGCTGCAGCGAACGTGGGGGCGCACATTCCTTATCGAGATAGCGATCGCATTTCCTGCACGTAAATACTCGGAAGGGGACTTGTTGGATCAAAACAGCGTGTCCGATTTACCCTTTTGGCTCCTGAGCGGAAAGCGGGGTCTCGAAGAGACAAGTGTGCACCCATGTCCATAACAGCACTTTTCAAAGAGCAAAGGGGGGAGCGAGCAGTCCGGCGCCCAGCATCCTTCATCCACTGTTCACTCCCTCATCACTGTGTTCATCGGCGGAACACAGATGAACAAAATGTGGTCTGTGCAATGGAATATTATCCTGCCTTTAAAAGGAAGGACATTCTGGGGGCGCCTGGGTGGCTCAGTCGGTTAAGCATCTGCCTTCAGCTTCAGTTATGATCCCAGGGTCCTGGGATTGAGCCCCACATCGGGCTCCCTGCTCAGCAAGGGGAGTCTGCTTCTCCCTCTTGCCTGCTGCTCCCCCTGCTTGTGCTCTCTCATGCTTTCTCTCAAATAAATAAATAAAATCTTAAAAAAAAAAAAAAGGGAAGGATATTCAGACACAGGCTACCCCATGGATGAACCTGGAGAACATTATGCTGAGTGAGATAAGCCAGTCACAGAAGGACAAATACTGATGAGTCACTTGGATGAGGTTCCTAGAGCAGCCAGATTCATAGAGACAGAAAGTAGACGGTGGACCAGGGGCCGGGGAATGGGGGGGATGGGGAGAGGGTGTTTGGTGGGGATGGAGTTTCAGTTCTGTGAGATGAAAAGTTCTGTGGACAGATGGGGGTGATGGTTGCACAAGAGCATGAATGTGCTTAATGCCATGGAACTGGACACCTAGAAATGGGTACAATGGTCAATGCTATGTGTATTCGACCACAATTAAGGTTGTTTTTATTATAAAAAGGAAAAAGGTGCTTCTTCTCCCATTTAGGGCCACTCTGCTTCCCCCGAGCTCCAGTTCCTTCCACCCTCTCCAGCATTAGTTCCTCCTTCTAGTCTGCATCTCTACCCTCTCCTCTGTGCCTTTAGCTGGTAAACACGCTAAAAATCTCTCTTCTATATGAAGAAAAGGCTTTTGACTCATGGATCTCCAGCTCCAACCCCTTCTCGCTCCTCTCCTCGTAAGACAGCTTTATGAACACTGTCTTGACCCAGTTTTGAGGCACCGGCTAGAGGCCAGTGTGTCCCACATCTTGAGCCGTGGTTAAACCCCCCCCCACACACACACCACCTCCTCCATGGGGGTCTCACACTCTGGGCCACTGCGCACCTGCCCTCAGCCCCCAGGGGCAGCCCCTACACCCACCGAAATGATTCCCACTAAGCCTGTTGGCCTGGTGTTGCCCATTCCTTCCCACAGAAACCATAATGGAGGGTCTTGCCCGCATTTCCCCCACCTCCCCTACCTCCCGACTGAGCCTGGTGCTTCCCCATGTCGCCCTGAGGGCTATACTTTGTCCCCCTTTCTTGGGATCTGCGAGTATAATAAACTATGTTTTCAGTGGCGGTCATCTCTCAACCTTTGGCTTTATCACACCTAAACAGCAACAAAACGTGTTCAAACACCCATGCATGTTCAAACTTCTCACGCAGACTGGTTTTCTCTGCTGCTTTTCTAAGCACTTCACCAAGGCCTGGTGTGGTAAGGACATCTTTTCCCAGAGTCCCCGGATCTTATTTGCCTCCTTCTTTCCAATTCCAAAGGCCACCTCTCAGTCTTTCCGTGGCACGACTGCTCAGCAACATGTAGCCCCACCCACCACTCCTCCCTTCTTCCTGCACCCCCTCCCCGACCGGCACCACCACCACGCCCCTGGCCACTGCGTCTCTGTCTCCTCCACGGGCCCCTCTTCCTGCATCCACAAGACAAGGTGGATGTTCCTGAGAGTCCGCCCCCAAGCCTGTCTTCTCACTACGCACACAATTCTTTTTTTTTTTCCTAAAGACTTTATTTATTTATTTGAGAGAGAGAGAATGAGAGAGACAGAGCATGAGGGGGGAGGGTCAGAGGGAGAAGCAGACTCCCCGCCGAGCAGGGAGCCCGATGCGGGACTCGATCCCGGGACTCCAAGATCACGACCTGAGCCGAAGGCAGTTGCTTAACGGCTGAGCCACCCAGGCGCCCTCTTAAACATTTTATTTTGAAATTATTAGAGACTCCCAGGAAGTTGCAAAAAATAGTACACAGGGCCCCATGTGAGCTTTGTTTCCACTAACCCCCGTGGTAACATCTCACACACATAAAATACACCATCAAAAGCAGGAAATCGACAGTGATACACAATACTGTTACCTGGACTACAGGCCTCATTTCTCAGGTTTCACTGTTTTTAAGCAATTTTAATCTGTGTAAAGAATTGTGTAGCCACCACCCCAGTGAAGATATAGACCTGCCCCGTCATTGAGGAATTACCTTGAGCTACCCCCTTTTAGATTTGACTATCCCCAATCTGTATCTCCCGACAACCACGGGTCTGTCCTCCATTTTTAAAAGTCTGCCATCTCTTTTTTCTTTCTTTCTTTTTGTTTTTTTTTTAAGATTATTTATTGAGAGAGAGAGAGAGCACGAGCGGGGTGGAGGGACAGAGGGAGAGAGAGAGCGTGGAGCTGGACGTGGGGCTCGATCCCAGGACCCCGAGATCATGACCTGAGCCGAAGTCAAGAGTCCGTCGCTCAACCGAGTGAGCCACCGAGGCGCCCCCAGTCCACCGTTTGAAGAATGAGATACGCGTGGAATCACACAGAGGGAACCAACCCTACTAACACCTCAATCCGGGACTTCTGGCCTCCAGAACCAGGAGACCACAGAGTTCTGGTGTTTCAGCCACTCCTTCTACGGCCTCCCGTGGCCATCCCCTTTCTGGCCCCCACCAGCCACCAACCTTGTCCCCCTCCACCACCAGTCTGTGACGCCCTTCCATCTACCCCGAGTTTCTCACCAGTTTTATTGTTCTGTGGCTGGTAGCACCTCTGCTCCATGCTAACCTCTCCCCATATGGCTCCTTCAGGAACTAAATCCATATTTGTTCACCATCTCGAACCAATCCCCTTAGTTACTTACCCAACATCTGCAGGTTCCTGCAGCCTGACCACAGGCCGGCCACGAGCTCAGTGGGCAAACAGCGTCTTCTGGTCCTGGCCAAGGGTGCGGCACCGAGGAGACGGTCAGGGAAGGGGACCCCAGCGTGAGATGAATGGGCCATGACCAGGGTAGCGCTGGGCATGGCGGGAGCGCTGAGGAGGTGTCTGCCCCCCAGCAGGAGACACCCCAGGGCTGAGTCTCAATACTAGAGTAGGATTTGGTGAGTGAAGAATGGCGTTGAGAAGGCGGCTCGGCAGAGGAGGGCAGGTGTCCAGGGGGCGAGCTGGGACGACTCAGGGGACCCGAGAGTATTTTCGTGTGGCCAGAGCTGTGTGTGGAATGGGGATGGGAGGGGGTGACCCTGAGCTGGGGGTCAGGTTTGCGGGGCCCCAGCCTAGTCTGGACTTAACATCAGCGTGCCAGGTCGGCGAGCACCTGCTGGTGCGGGGAGAGGCCATGGGAGCCCCACGTGCTTCCCCGCCCCCGCACCTGGCCGCGACCACCTCTTCCATCTGGCTGTTCCTGAGCCCCAGGCCGGCGATGTGGTAAGTGAAAGGCTTTCCCGAGTTCTGTGAGCTGCTCTAGCATGTTAATCAAACCCAAGGAGGGGCTCGTGGGAACCTCTCATCCATATCCGGTGGGTCAGAAGCTCAGGTGACAATGAGGACTTGGATTGGCCGGGGGTGGGGGGCAGTCCTGTGGGACGGGTAGACGGTGCCAGAGCTGACTTGAACGGTAGGAGCCCAGCTGGGGTCGGAGAATCGCTTGTTCGTGTTGGGGAGCCCACACACTGGGATGGGATAGAAGCGTAATCACGTATCGTTAAGAAATGCTGACAACAACCTGAACCCCAAGTGATCGGGAACACGTTTAAAGATGAGTTATGATGGGGCGCCTGGGTGGCTCAGTTGGTTAAGCGACTGCCTTCGGCTCAGGTCATGATCCTGGAGTCCCGGGATCGAGTCCCGCATCGGGCTCCCTGCTCGGCGGGGGGTCTGCTTCTCCCTCTGACCCTCCCCCCTCTCATGCTCTCTCTCTATCTCATTCTCTCTCTCAAATAAATAAATAAAATCTTAAAAATAAAAAATAAAAAAAAAGATGAGTTATGCTGCTGGTTGCCCTGGGCTGGAGGGCAGGAGTGGTCGGGGAGGTGAGGCTGGAAGGCATGGGGTCTCTTTTTGGGGTGATGAAGGCTCTAACATTGATGGTGGTGATGGTTGCCCAACTCTGTGAATATACCATAAACCCCTAACATCCACACTTTTCTTCCTTTCTTTCTTTTTTTAAGTAGGCTCCTCACCCAACGTGGGGCTTGAACTCACCACCCTGAGGTCAAGGGCGGCAGGCTCCCCCCACCGAGCCCGCCAGGCGCCCCGCCCCGCGCACGCCTTGGGTGGGCAGCTGGACGGAATGTGAAGAGTGTCTCAGCAAAGCCACGGCCAGAACGTGTTTTTCTGGGACTGAGTAGAAACGACCTCACACAGAACATGGTCACAGCTCAGCAATGACCGCCAACAACGCCCGACTGTGAAGTTCGTAGCTGTCAGGAGGCCGGACCTCCTTGTTCCCACCGCACGCACCAAGCTCACAATGTTCCACGTCAACGCGTCTCAGTAAAACATAAAAGGGAAGGTGTTCTTCAGACAGACGGAGGCAGGAGATTTCCCTCCACGCGCCTTCCCGTGGTGCTGGGGGCTGCTCGCTTCACACCCCTGCCCCCGTTCGTGTTCCGCGAGCCCCGGCTCCTGACGGCGGACAGAGCAGAGCGCGCAGGACCGGGGCGGCGGAGCCCGGAGCATGACCACCACGTGGGCACGAAGCAGGGGTGCAGCAGAAGGCAGCGCTGGGCCTCTGCGGGTGGGAGGAGCGGGGCGCACACCCCCCATGACACTCACCCCTGCCCGAGGTCGCATCACAGCTTCTGTGCCTCTCCTGGCTCAACGCCTTCCTACACGGTGGCCTGAAGCTGGGGCAGGGACTGAAAAGCAGGGGTGAGGTCAAAGGACACGGAAGCACAGACTCAAAGGGGCCCACAGGTCCACCGACCGACGAGAGGAGAAAGGTGTGGTGCATATGGGATAGTGCGCAGCCATCAGAAAGAACGAGGTCCTGCCGGTTGGAGCTAGACGGTATTAGGCTGCGTGAAATAAGTCAGAGAGAGACAAACACCCTATGATTCCCCTCGTATGTGGGATTTAAGACACAGAAACGAGCACAGGGAAACGAGACAGAGGCAAGCCACACAACAGACTCTTAACTACAGAGAACAAACCACTGGCGACCAGAGGGGAGGTGGGTGGGGGAGGGGGAGCCAGGTGATGCGGATGGAGAAAGCGCATGTCGTGATGAGCTCGGGTAACGTATGGAAGTGCTAAGTCGCTATATTGTGCACCTGAAACTAGTATTGCATTGTGTTAAATACACCTGAATTAAAATAAAAACTTAAAAAAACAGGAGTGGGCTCGGCGGGTCCCTGCCCCCTCCCAGTGCCCCTGGGTGGCTCAGTCAGTTAATCAGACTCTTGATTTCGGCTCAGGTCATGATCTCAGGGTCGTGAGATCGAGCCCCGCGTCAGGCTCAGCACGGAATCTACTTGAGAGTCTCTCCCTCTGCCCCTCCCCCTGCTTGCTCTCTAAATAAATAAAAGTTTTTAAAAAAATTTTTTTTAAAATAGGGACGCCTGGCTGGCTTAGTTGGTTGAGCGTCTGCCTTCGGCTCAGGTCGTGATCCCGGGGTCCTGGGATGGAGCCCCGCATCGGGCTCCCTGCTCAGTGGGAACCTGCTTCTCCCTCTTCCTCTGCCGCTCCCCCTGCTTTGTGCGCTCTCTCTCTCAAATAAATAAATAAAATCTTTAAAAAAAATTAAAATTAAAAAAACAAAAGAAAAAACGATTTGCTGAGATTGTGAGCACCCCTCCCCCAAGGCCCCTCCCCAAATAATGGAGATGTCGCCGTTCCAATGTCCACTTTACTTGGGCACGAAATAGATTAGGGCCACAGGGAAGGGGGCGGGTGCACAGGAGAGGTAGGCTGGGATCACGGAGGCAGGCGGTGGATGTGGATGTCCACAGACGGCTCTCCCGTGGCTCCAGCCACATGGGCACCTGCAGACAGGAGTCCAGGAGCCTGGGCCTCCCGTCCCATCTGGTGGGGCCTGGCTGGAGGGCAGGGGGCGCCCGGGTCTGTCCGGGCCCCTGGTCAGTTGGTCTTGAGCCTGGGGCTCTGGAAGGCTGACAGGGTGATGAGGAACTGGGCAGCATAGTAGGTGGTCATGACCACCAGGCGGGCATGGGGCAGCGGCTGGGCGAAGGTGTCCCAGGCCAGCACCATGTCCGAGAACGTGAAGAGCAGGACCCCCCAGCGGACGCTGCCGCCCCTGGCCAGGCCACGCCACAGCACGGAGGCCAGGACCAGGGAGTAGGCCGCCAGGGCCGGGGCCATGCTGGTGGGGAGGTGGAGTAGCAGGATGCCGGAATACGGCATGGAGACCAGCGCGATGGGCAGCAGGAGGCCTGGCCGCAGGGGACTGAGGCCGAAGGCCCAGAGGTAGAGCAGGTGGGCCACGGCGAAGGCAGCCATGCCTAGAGGAGACAGGACCCGTTGCTCCCTCGTGGCCACCTCGCAGCTCAGAGCCTGAGGGCGAGGACTGCCCCGAGCAGCAGTGTCCACCCTGGCTACATCGCCCGCATCAGCTGGGATTACCGTACCGGCCTCCCTGGGGCAGGCTCCCCTGTCCCTGCCCTTGGCACCAGAGTGACCTTAAAAGGCACACTGCATTCCATCCTTACTCAGCTTACAACTCCCCATTTTGCTCTGCTCCCCACTTGGCTCCACCCACCCACCTGCGCCGACCACCCCAGGGCCTTTGCACTTGCCGGCTCCCTGCCTGGACCGTCCCTCCTCCCATGGCCCCTGCACTTTCTTCAAGACGTCACCTCCTTGGTGAGGCCATCCTTGACCAGCTACTCCGGACTGTAGCACCCGAAGCCCCCCTTCCTGTCCCTCCACGCCACTCACACCCTCTAAGCTCTGCCGCCCAAGCCCCCCAGGGGAAGGAGGGCTCTGTGGGAGCGGGGGTCCGTGTCTGGGTGGGGGTCCACAAGCGACCACGCAGCCCCGCTCACCATGGAGGAAGGCGTCGGGCCAGATGAGGCAGGCGTCCCCCACAGCCGAGCACAGGAGGGCCCCCTGCAGGAGCGCACGGTACCGTCTACCCCGGCCCCCGACGTGCAGGGCCGCCGCCAGGCACAGCACTGGCAGGCACTTGACCAGGGCGCTCACCCAGGATGGCCGGTCTTGAGGGATCCAGAGGAGGAAGTAGGCAGCACAGGTGAGGAGGAAGGGGCTCAACCGCCAGCACGGGCGCGGCTGCTTTGGGAGACAAGGGGGTCACCGAGTCCCTGGAGCCCAGCCAGCTCCCGGCCCCTGGGGGGCGCGCCACGCGGCCAGGACTCGGGTCGTGCGGCTGCCACTGCACCCCCACCCGGGAACCTGGCTCGCTGTCCGCGGGGAGCCCAGCCTCCTGAGGGCGGGGATCCCAGGGCCCCCCGGTCTGGTGGGCTGCTCAGGTCCCCGGAGCCCAGGCCTAACCGCCTCCCACACCCGGTGTCTCTCACTTGGGCTGAGAAGCAAGGCCTTCCGGGCAGACCCTCTTCCCAGGCGTCCATGTCGGCCTCTGACCCACCAGAGTGGCACGTATGTGGGCACGGGTGGCCTCGGGAGTGGAGGGGAAGCGTGTGGTTACACGTTAACCCGAGGAGCGTCCTGTGGACTCTGCGGCTGATAACAGGGCCTGGGGAGATGGCCCTGGGGATGGCCCCGCCTGACACCACTGATAAGGTGCCCACTGGGGACGCAGGGGTCCCTCCTTCCCCACGGCACCCTGCCCCCCGGCCCAGACCTGGCTTCCCCCTGCTGCCCGGGCGACGTGTGGCCATAAACGCCCCTGCCAGTGTCCCATGCCCAACCAACCAGGAGCGACCCGGTGCAGGACTCCTACACCCTCCCCTGCACCTGGAACCCTGGGGTAGGGGAGCGCCATCAGCCCCGGGCTCAGGTCAGTGGCAGGACCTCCCGGCCGGAGTGCGGGACAGGATGGAAACTCCCCAGGTCCCTGCCCACCCAGTGTCCCCCCGGCAGGCTGCCTGGGGGTCCTTCCTGTGCCCTGGCCCTGCTGTCCTCAGCTCTGGCCATCACACCCCCCCAAGGCGGCCTCCACGGACCCTCCTGAGGGAAAACGTGCTGGTGCTGAGTCGTACGAGGCCCTCACTGCGCACCGGCCGCGGCTTTGCAAGCACATCTTGCAAGCGCACTCAGCCCCTCTGTAACTCCGGGTTTAGCAGGAAAGGGTTTAGCAGGTGCCCAACTATATGCCCAACTGGTGGGCTGACCAGCCCCAGGCACCCAGTGCTCCACCACCACAGGAGACCAGGCTCAGGGGACATCACTTCTGCAAGGTCGCCCAGCCATGAAACCCTCCCAAAGACTGGAGGCTGGCCTGCCACCTCCTGGAGGGTGTATGGACCTGGGACACGTAGGGCTGAGGGCACGAAAGGGACCTCAGAAAACAGCTCATGGGGACCAGGCCCCAGACAAGACTGGGCAGGACTCTGCTCCTCCACCCAGGACATCCTTTCCTGGTCTGAGCACAAGCGACCCACCCTCAGCAGAGCACGGAGATCCAGGAGCCTAAGAGCTCTCTGAGGGCCACATACAGGGGCTGAGGAAGGCCTGGGGCCCCGAGGCCAGGGTGCATGGGCAGCTCAGGGCCCAGCCCAGATCCCATTATTCATGGCCAGAAGCCAGGGTGCAGGGATAGCTCAAATCCCAGCCACAGGTCCCAGAACTCAAGGTCGGAGTGACCAGGGTGCAAGGACATTTCAGGCCCCGAGCCCCAGTTTCCAGAACTCGAGCCCGAGGCGGCCAGGGTGCAAGGATAGCTCAGGCCACCAGCCCCAAGTCCAAGAAACAAGGCTCGAGGGGGCCAGGGTGCAGGGAGAGACCAGACCTGCAGCCTCAGGTCCCAAACTCAAGGCCCAAGGGCAGGGTGTAGGGACAGCTCAAGCGCCCAACTCCAGGTCCCAGAACTCAAGGCCCAAGGAGGCCAGGGTGCAGGGATAGATAAAACTCCGGCCTCAGGTCCCAGAATTGAAGGCCTGAGGAGGCCAGGGTACAGGGACATCTCAGGTCCCCAACTCCAGGTCCCAGAACTCAAGGCCCAAGGCCAGGGTGCAGGGACAGCTCACGCCCAGAACCCCAGGTCCCAGAACTCAAAGCCCCAGGAACCCAGGGTACAGGGTCAGCTCAGCCTCCCAGCCCCAGGTCCCAGAACTCAAGACCCGAGGAGGCCAGGGTACAGGGACATCTCAGGTCCCCAGCCCTAGGTCCCAAAACTCAAAGCCCGAGGCCAGGGTGCAGGGACAGCTCAGGTCCCCAGTCCCAGGTCCCAGAATTCAAAGTCCAAAGAGGCCAGAGTACACAGATAGCATGGGCCCGCAGTCCCACGACCCAGAACTCAAGGCCCGAGGAGTCCATGGTGTAAGGACAGCTCAGGCCTAGCCCCAGGTCCCAGAACTCATGGCCTGAGGCCAGGGTGCAGGGAGAGCTCAGGTCCCCAGCCCCAGGTCCCGGATATCAAGGCGTGAAGCCAGGGTGCACGGACGGCTCAGATCCCAGGCCCAGGTCCCAGAACTCAAGGTCCGAGGCCAGGGTGCAAGGACAACTCAGGCCCCCGGGCCGTGCCCCAGAATTCAAGGCCCAAGGAATCCATGATGCAGGGACAGCTCAGGCCCCCAGCCCCAGGTCCCAGAACTCACAGTCTGAGCAGGAATCTTAAACGATCTTTATTTATTTATATTTGCAATATGAAATAGAAGCTCAGCACGAACACACACACACTCACACCAGCCTGGGGAGAGGGAGCTGGGACAAGGTCACTTGGCAGCTGGGCTGGACCCCAGATCCTTGGGCACGGGAAGGGGACCCCAGCCGGACCCTTGCCAACCCCCCGCCCCAGGGTCCATGGGAGGTGCGGGGGGTGGGGGGGGCGGTCTCAGTGAGTGCACTGGGGCCCCTTGGGAATGTCACCGGGGAGACCCCCTTGGACGGGGACCGCCAGCTCCCATAGAGCCAACAGGGCCAGGCAGAGGATCCTTTATCTCCCAGCCTGGGTCAAAGTGCAGGGTCCAGGGCAAGGGTTTGGGCAAAGGCACGGCCCCCACTCGAGCCCTCCCCGGAGGTGGGCCTGGGCCGAGTGTGGGTGTGGGCATCTGCACCGGAGGCTGGGGCATGGTGGGAGGGGAGGGCAGACAATGACCTTGGGACCCCAACAGAGCCCCCACCGAGATGGGATGAAGGTCCCACCCGCTGCCCGCCCGGCCGGGCCTCCTCCTGGCTCTCCACCCACCCGCTCTCTCTCTATATATAATATATAATATAGGTCTCTCTCTCTCTCTCTCCTTTCTCTCTATTCAATTGTTTCTTTATTCTAGGAGACAAAACTCCATAATTTCTTTTCTCAGTGCAAATGGGGGTGGGTAGGGGCCTGACTCCCTGGCACCTGGCTCCTGGGAGTCCAGAAGAGAGAACGTGGGGGCAGACAAGGTGGGGATGGGGTGATGGGGCAACAGGGCCATCGTGGGACCCGCCCTGCCCCCACTCGGGCAAGGTCCACGTGGAGTATGGAGGATTTAGCCGCCACCACCGGGACCAGGCAGTTACCTGGGAACCAAGAGGGAGACCCATGTGAGGAACCTGCTGCCCCGAGGCCCCCCACCTGCCCAGCCCCAGCCCATCTGCTACCCACCCAGCCCTTGCCACTCACTGGGAGCCCAGGGGTGCTGGCCCTCCCGGGGCAGAGCCATTGGGCATCGGAGGCGGCTCGAGGGCCTGGGCACTGCCAGGGGAGAGGGACACAGAAAGGTCAGGGCCTCCGCCACAGGACACCAGCAGCCCTGGGAGGCCGCCCTGCACTCACCTCTGGCTCTGGGGGAGCCCCGAGGGCTCTGGGCTCTTCTCCCCCTCCGTGGTCCGGGGGTGCTGGCAGGCCCCGGGGGCTGGAACAGAGGTAGCAGGGTCTCTGGTTGCACTGCGGGGGCGGCAGGGTACGTGGGTATCAGCAGGGTTATCAGCACCGAAACCCTCCTCGCCCCTAAGCCCCTTCGTGCCTGCAGGGAAGTGCATGGCCAGGACGGTCCGTCCCATCAGAGACCCCGGGAGCCACCGCAGGCAGGAGGGGCTCAAGGTGGGCTCCACATACTGCCTGCCCCCCTTCTGGAAGCCTTTCTGCCCCTGGGGCTGAGTGGGGAGCCCTGAGTTCCAGGGGCCTCCGGGGCACCCACACGTGGGCCTGGGCACAGCACCGGCCCCTTGGCCGCCACGGGGTGCCGAGGCAGTGCCGCAGACCTGGGGGTCCCACCAGGGCCCCGGAGAGCAGCTGTGGGGCCGGGCCCACCCAGGGCTCCCCTAGAGCAGCTGCTCCCCAGCCGGTCACCTGTCCAGGGAGCTGGGGGTGGAGCGCGTCCCTCTGAGTGTGGCCTGGAGGTCCCCGAAGCCGACCAAGGCCTGGCAGGGGGCTGTGCAGAGAGAGGCCAGGACACGCCGGGCTCAGCGCGGCAAGCGCGCAAGGCCAGGGCGCGAGGGGAGAGCGGGCGGGGCTGGGTGGTGGCGCTCACCCGAGGGCTCTGCTACTTGGCTGCCGTCTGTGGCTTCCTGAGGTGCTGACAGGGATGCGGGGTCCTGAGACCTGAGGGGAGAGAGGCAGCCCGAGGGCCAGCTGGGGTCCGTGCTCCAGCCCAAGGGACCCAGGCCGGGCGCCCACCAGCGGCCTCACCTGAGCTGCAGGGCGGTGCAGGCCGCAGGGCCGGCCGGGCTCAGGGCGGGGAGGCCCCGGGGTACGCCGAGGGACCCCTGTGGGGCGAGAAGCCCGGGGCTCGGCTCCTTCTCCCCACAGTCTCGGGGGCCGGTCAGGGCGTCTGTAGGCACTGGGTCAAAGGTGGCTGTCCAGCTGGGGCCTGGCGGGGGGGCGGGGAGCGGGGTGAGCACAGGAGGCAGCCAGCCCGCCTGCATCCCGCCGCGCCCCCCGTGCCTTCACCCACCCGGAGGCTGGGAGCCAGGGCTAGGCTGCGAGGGGGGCCCGGTCCCCCCACCAGCCGCATGGCCTTCGCCGTCGTCCTCGTCGTCCTCGTCGTCCTCGTCGTCCTCCTCGCTGTCTGTGCTGCCTCCACTCCTGCCCGGAAACCACGGTCAGCTGCTGCGCTGACACAGGGATGGCGGGGGGGTGGGGGGTGGGGGGACAGGCCGGTCGGGGCCTCTCTGGGAGGCGTGGGAGGGCAGGTGGGACCTCCGCCTCGTCCCGGAGGCTCCCCCTGAGGGCTGAGGGCCGACCCGACACTCCCCCTCTGCCTCGGGCGGCCCGAGGGCAACGTCCAGCACGAGCAGGCGCTCCACCACCACGGCCTAAACGTGAACTGAGGCACGGCCCGAGCCCGTGGGGAAGGCCCGTCTGGCCCACACGTCCCCCAGCCAGGGAGCGGCTGAGCAAACCACGTGGCCGCTAAGAGCCGGCCGCCCGCCGTCTTTACGGTTACTGACAGGAGAGGAACCCACGGGGACGCCGCTGAACATGGTCGATGATTCACAAAGACACTCAGCAGATGGGAGGAGAGAAGAGGCATCTCCCAAACCCACAACCCACATCACATCAGTGCTGGAAGACCCGCTGTCCCCCCAGGGTCAGGGGCAAGACGGGGGCCTCCTCTGCTCAGGACCGCAAGGACACAAGAACGCGACGTGAAGAGCCTCCAGACCAGAAAAGGAGTGAAACCCTGTTTGCAGATGGCCTGACTGTAGACCGAAGACCCAAGGAATCCGTTAACTGTTACAGTGAATGAGTCTGCAAAGCCCAACGTCGATGTACAAACATCCACCGTATTTCTGTACGCTTGGGAAATCTCAAAGTTCCACCTACATAAAATACGCAGGAAAAACTTGAACAAAGGAAGCACAAAGCTTATTCTCTAAAAAAGACCTAAGTAAATGGAAGGATGTTGCACGCTCAGGGACTGGAAGATGGAATGCGGGTCCCAGGTCCCCGGGCTGACACAGCTTCAGGGCAAGCCCTCCCAATCCCAGCCAGCTTCCCTGCTCAAGTTAACCTGCTGATCCTAACAGTCCCACGGACTCTCGAGGGGCCCCAAGCAGACAGCCACGTCGGAGGACTCACTTCCCGATTTCAAGCCCTACTACGACACCTGTCGAGACAGGGAGGTCCCAGAGCGGCCAGGAGCCAAGCCGCGCTCGTGCAGCCAAGTGCTTCTGGCCAGGGCACCAAGCGCACTTGGTTGGGAGAGGCCGGTGTAGAGGTGCTGGGACGGCATTCGCACCTGCAGGGGGAAGCCGGACCCCGCCTCACCCCACACACAAGACCTCAGGCCAAAACGGGACTGAGAAGTGAAAAGCAAGAACGACCACTCTCACGCTCCCGGAAGAGAACACAGGGCAAACCGAGGCCTTGGGCTCACCGGCTGGGCCACCCAGCAGATGGGAGTGACACGCACACAGGCCCGGGCCGTGGACTCCCGAGCGGAACAGGTCAGGCCCACGCCAGCCTCGGGGGCACAGCGGCCAGGTGGGGATGTAGGATGCGGCCACCTGTCTGTGTCCGGGGGGGCAGAGGCCCTGACCACTGAGTGGGCGGCTGTGGGGCCAGCTCACCCACACTCAGCCCGGCTCCCGTTACTGGCACGAAGGCACAGAGAGCGGCGGGAAGGCCCGAGTGCGAGCTGACCGGGGAGAGCAGAGGGGAGGGACGGAGGGACGCACACCTGGGCCGGCCGCACAAGGACCCACACAGGCGGCCGGGCTCCGCCCCTCGCAGCCGAACCCACCTGAGTGACACACACACTCCCTCACTCTCCTCCTCCACCCGGGCTGCCGACCACCAGGGCTCACGGACTCACCGCACGGCTGGGGGCTGGCCCCGGCGGGCTCCCGGGGCCAGCTGGCTGCCCTGCCAGGCGCCGTCCTCCTCGTCGGACTCCCCGGAGCCCTGGCCCTCCTCCTCGTCCTCGTCCTCGTCCTCCTCGTCGTCGAACTGCTGGATGCGGTCCTTGTAGCAGATCTCCAGCAGGTTGGCGTTGGGCTGTGGGGTGCAGGGGTGGGTGGGGTGGGCAGCACGGTCCACAGCGCCCCCCGCCCCTGCCCCGCACCACTAGGGATGGGCGGCACTCACGTTCTCGTCATCGGCGTTGAGGGAGAAGGTGATGTTGGCTGTCTTGTCGAAAGGCGCGCTAGGGGAGAGGCGCAGGGCCGTGAGGCGGCCGCTGTGGCGAGCTTCTCCCGCACCCGCTCAACGCACCCTCGCCGCTCGCCCTCCTGCACCTGCAAGTCCGCCTACTGGCTACAGCTCGTCTGTGGCCTCACGTCAGCGCCGTGACCCCCTCCGGCCACCTGTGGAGCTGCTGACTGGCAGCGGGCAGCTGAGAGCACCCGCCTGCCCCAGCCCTCGCACGGATGCCCCGAGGGGACGGGAGCCTCAGCCCGGGCCATGGAGCACGCTAAGACACAGACAGCATCTACCTGGACGAGCACCGTTGGGACTTAAGGCCACCATCCAGGTGCCCACCTCCCCCAGGAGCGAGGGTTCAGGGCTCACGGGGCCTTCACCCACCGGGGCGGCAGCCGGGAATCGAGCCAGAGGCGTGTGCGGCCCAGCCGTCTATCCCTGCCTCTGTTCTGTGCTGCCCTAGGCCCCCGGGCCCTCAAGTCCAAGAAACAACACCGAAGGAGAGACTGGCCACGGCCGGGCCGGGCCGTGGCCGTCACCCTACCCGTCTCCAGCGGGGCCTGCAGCGCCGCATGCCCGGACGCTGTCGCTGGTCCGCGAAAACCCCTCCACCGAGCGCGGGGCCGCACAGCCCGCCCCAGCCCAGATGCCCGGTCTGCAGCTGGGATCCTGGCCTCGAGGCCCCGAGGGTAGGGGCGGCCCCCAGCCTTCCGCTGAGGCCGACAACACCCGGTCCCCCGGCGCCGCTCTCTTTCAGAAAGCCTCGCAGAAGCACGATTCCTGTGCTAAGTACGGCCAGGAACCGCTGACGAGAGCCTTCCTCATACTCCCTCAAGGCCCAGGACCCTTGTGCTTTGCCCCCTTTTCCTCCAGGGCCGTCGGCTGGTCTGTCTGTATGGGGTCCGCACTCTGTCCCCGTGTTCTATCGTTTGTCTACTTCGGGAAACGCTGGGCCACAAAGGGGGGTGAATGAGCTGAGTGCCGCCTCGGCGTCTGCACCGCGTCCCCTCGACCTCTGCTGCCGAAGCGCGCAGCGCCGGGCAGAGCGGGGCCCCGGGCACGACAGCCGACCCGGGCCACCCGAGTCCTGCGGGCCGGTATCTTCAGCCCCAGAGCTATAAAAACACTCATCTGCTCTCCGTCCTAGAACGCTTCACGGCTTTCACGGTTTTTATAAAGTTTCCAACCCCACTGGGAACTACGTGATAGAGAAGACAACCCAGTCTCGTCCACAAGGACAGCGGCTGTGCTGACGCCACCCCCCGAGCGGTCGGTCTGTCCTCCCTCGGGCGGGGTCTGCTCTGGGGCCCCCGCCTTCCAGGCACCGGGCCCAGGGCAGGGCAGGGCAGCAGACACAGAGCTCACGTCTGCCCCCGAGGGGACCTCTGTCCGGCAGGGCAGGCCAGCAGCTGACCACAGCCCGTCACGGTGCCCTCTCACGGAGCTGCACAGGGGCGATCGTGCTCCCACACCGACCAGCACATGCCTCAGTCTCCCCAGCTGTAAAGAGGCTCCTCAGCCCTGAGCACAGGGTGATGGTGGGCACACAGTGCACAAGTACCGTGATGAAGCGGATGGGGACCCCAGGGGCAGCTGAGGCCCCTCTTGCCTGTCCCCGGGCCCCACCCCCGGCTGCCCCCAGCCCGCCCCTAAGGGGCCAGCTGGACCCCTCTCCACCGGATTCCTGCACTGTCAGACTCGGATCGCTCCTGTCCTGCCCTCCGGCGGTCCTTCCGCTTTCCCTCAGACCGTCCCAGACTCCTTCAGAGCAACGTCTTCTGCTCTGACGGCTCTCCCCTCAGGGGCCTGGCGGGCTGAGCTCCCTCCCAGACCACGGCCTGCCCACCTCGCTCTCACTCCAGACCCTCAGCCACTGCCCCGCAAGGAGGGGACAGAGGAGCCGGGAGCCGGGACTGGCCCCCATCAGGCTGAGCGCAGACGCTAGGACCGGCAGGTGCCAGCCTGCGGTGCCCCCCCCCGGACCTCTTCTTCCACTATATGTTCAACAACTTCCTGCATGCCCAAGTGGAGTTGTGTGTGAGTGCCCTGCTGAGCACTGCACCTCCCTCTGACAGTGGTGGGAGCAGGGAGGACCCGGCAAGGCGGGCAGGAGGAGCCACGGGGCCGGCAAGGGCGGCGCGCCGACCTGCTGTCTCCTGAGCCCCCGCCCTCACAGAAGGCCACACTCACTTCACACTCTCCTCCTGCTCCCCAAACTCCTCGTCATTGAAGCCAAAGTGGTCGATGAAGGCCGAGGTCATGCGCTGCATCTGGAAGTCCATGAAGGCCTGCGGGGGGGCGCGGTCAGGGGCGGGTGGGGCCGGGCAGCCCGGGCAGGGCAGCCCCCCGCGCCCGCCGCGCCCCCACCCACCTGCTGCAGCACTGCCTCCTCAGGGAAGTTGAACTCCTTGAGCCGGTCGTCCTCGTCGTCGCTGGAGGAGTGCAGGTGGTGGGTGCTCACCTGGGGCAGGGGGCGGGCGGGGGTGAGGGCCGGGACGGGCAGGGTGCGGCTGCGGGGGTAGGGGCGGAGGACAGACCCGCGACACAGGGCGGAGCCGCCTCACCAGGTCCACGGCGTTCCTCTTGTTGGTCTCTGCCAGGGCTCCAGACACGAAGGCCTCCCACCGCTCCTGCTGCTCTCCGGGCAGCTCTGCTCAGCGGGGAGGAGACGGGGCGTGAGGCCCCCGGCCTGCACCCCTGCCCACCGCCCCGCCGGCAGCCCTGGCCCTCACCCTTCAGCAGCCGGCCCAGCTGCTCGGCGTTGGGCCCCTTCTCCGTGTTCTGCACCAGAGCGTTGGCCAGTCTCGTCAGGTGGCCCATGTAGCCTTTGCGGGGGCCCCCGGCAGACCTGGGCGACATCAGAGGCCACAGCTGGACGGGCCCGTGTGCCCGGGCCGCCCCCGCCCCCGCCCACGCAGGCGGTCCCCGGTGCTCACTGCACGAGGTCGTTCTCCTCCCAGGAGGTCAGGATGCGCTCCACCAGGCGGCACTGCTGCAGCAGCTGAGGGACCAGGGGGGCCGTGGGGGCGGGCCGGGGCCGGGGCACGCCCCTCCCGGACCGCCTGCGCCCCCCCGCACCCCCGGACACGTCCCCGGCCCCTCGGTCTGTCCGGCTCCCACTCTACCTCCACCCTCCACGTACACAGCGAACCTGGAGTCGTCCCCCCGCCTCCCACCAGTGACGGCCACGATGCCCAAGCGGCCGCGCTGCTCAACAGCTCCTCCCCGAGGCCCTGGGCTCCGTGCCGGGAGGCACCTCCCCTGGCCCGGCAGCCGTCACCCCAGAGGACACCCGCTGCCTCCCGAGGGCACCCCTACCTGCACCGCCCAGACGGACCTAAGGACAAGGCCGAGCCCCCGGCCCCCCACCCGTGAAGCTGCCTAGTGAGCACCAGCAGGGGGACCCGGGGACAGAGAGGGGGGCCCGGGAGCCCCAGCTCACGTGTTTCAGGACGGGGCTCGGGGCAGCCATCTCGAGGCCACTGTCGGAGGGAGGTGCAGTGCTCAGCAGGGCACTCACACACAACTCCACTTGGGCATGCAGGAAGTTGTTGAACATATAGTGGAAGAAGAGGTCCTGGGGGGGGCACCGCAGGCTGGCACCGAGAGGCCCCTCCACCCACCCCACCCTCCGCACCCCGCCAGGGGCCGCCCCGTGCCCCCGCTGCTCCCCACCCCCTCTCCCCACCCAGGGCCCCCCGCACCCCCCGCCCCTCCGCACCAGCATGGTGTTGGGCACGTCCAGCGCCAGGAGCTCCTGGGTCAGGGCCGCATCGTTGGCGCTCAGAGCGCTGGCCAGCAGCTTGACCACATGCAGCCGGGTGTTGCCCAGCGGCGGGGCCAGGCTGCCCCACGTAGTTCGCAGCGGCTCCAGCTACGGGCACAGGGGCGGCTCAGCGCTGCCCAGAACCATGGGCCGCCCTCCCTGCCACCCTGCCTCCTTGGCCTCCCGGCCCACCTCGGGGGGCTCAAGCAGGAGCTGGTGGAAACGGCCGAGCCGTGGGCGCAGGGCGTGCAGGACGCCCACGCTGGACGTGGTGCTGTCCAGGGTCGCCTGGGCCAGGAGCTCCAGCTGTCCGTCCACGCTGCTGAAGAAGTTGTTCACGGTCACAGACTCGGACCTGCAGGAGGGGACGGGAGGCAGGCCTGTGTGTGTGATACGCACTCGCGCAGCACATCAGGAAGGGACGCGCTGCTCCCTGGCGAAGTGCAGCGCGAGGCCCCATCGTTCCGGGCAACGCCTGCCAGCTCAAAGCTACAGACGGAATACGCAGCCTCAGACGGGAGCGGAGGACTCCTCTCCCAGGACCGAGTGACCACCGAGACGGGAGACCCCTTGCAGAGACCGTGTCCCCACGACCTTCACCTCTGTATGGAAGGCAGGCCTCCGAGGGATTGCACGGCCACCGGGGAGGCTGGCCCCCCTCACCTTGGCCTCCTGGGCTCCAGCAGGGTCAGCAGCACCTGGATCCCATTCACGATGACAGACTGGCTCTGCTCCCCCTCCAGCATGTTGCTCAGGAGCTGCTCGATCGTCTCCTGCCTGGGACAGGGGTCAGGACGAGGGATAAGGGTGGGGTCGGCATGGGGGCCATGCGGAAGGGCCCTGGACAGCTTCCCGCCCTGGGTCTCGGAACCACAAACCCACTTCTCCAGGGTGGCCAACAGCTGGTCGGGCTCCGGGCTGTCCTGGACCTGGATCATCTGCTCCCGGCTCAGGCGGATGATGTCGCACAGGGACTGAGATGCGTTGGAATGTTGCTGCGGAGGCAAAGAGAGAGCTGAGGACACCAGTCTGCCTGCCAGGCCCTCCGTGTCCTGCTTTCAGGACTCCTCGGGAGCTGACACCTGGCCCTCAGGACCGAGAGAAGGGTCACAGAGACAGGGACGCAGGTGTCCAGGGTACGGACACAAGGTACCAAACACTGGAAGAGGACACGGTGAGGAACTGAGAGTCCCCGGAAAACTTTCTGCAGAAGGGGACATCCCACACCCCACACCATCTGCTGCAGCCGGGGCGGGGGCGACCCCAACGTCCACCGACTGGTGAGCAGACAAGCTCCTGTGAACACCCCTCAGCCTCAGGACGGGATGAAGCACACGGATGAACACGGACACCTGGTGCTGAGGCAGAGGCCAGAGACGCAGACCAAGTACGGCGTGACCGTGTTTACGCAACAAGTCCAGCAGATGCAAGCCCAGAGACAGAACGCTGCCTGGGGTGACAGGGGGACCACGAGTGCAACGGTGTACAGCTAAAGGACACGGGCTTTCCTTTTGGAGTAACAAAAAAATGCTCCCAAATCCACGTGGTAATAACGGGACAAATTTGTGATTACGCCAAAAGCCGCTGTGTGCTATACTTTAAACAACTGACCCGTGTGGTACGTAATCTCTATCTGGATAAAGCTGTTCCAGGAAAAACCCAGAAAGAAACTCGAGCGGGACTCCGAGTCTAGCCCAACAGGGAGCTACCAGCGCCCACCTGCGCAGACCCCAAACCCGTCCAGGCCATGGGCCGCACTTCAGAGCCCATCACGGACGCCCCCCGCCCCTGGGCCTGAGTGGTCCTCACCCTGCTGGCCGCATGCCTGGGGTACCCACCCGCACCTGTGGAGCTCTGCTCTGTAAGCCAGCAGCCCCGGAAGACAAGGCGAGACCCCCCACCCCGGCTGCAGTGAGAATGTGGGGCCTCTGCATGGATTTGCTGAAGAACAAGCAGGGTGTACCCAGGGACAAGAGACTCGAGAAGCTGACAGGCCCCACTCAGCAGAGGAGTGGGGAGCGGGGAAGGGGCCCCTGGAAGGCTGGCATCGAGGGGGCCAGGCTGGAGCCTGGAGTCCGGAGACCCTGGCCAGACCCCTGACCCATCAGGAGACGCTGGGCCAAGCTCCTGGCTCGTGAGATGCGCTCCCCGTGGGCGGCAAGAGCCCCGTCGGTGACAGACTGGAAGGACGAGCACACACAGCACCAATCGCGTCCTTCCTCAACAGTTCACCGTCCAGGGAGGGAGCGGGCGAGAGGCCGGGCCACAGCTGGGCGGGCAGGCGAGGAGAGAACACTCACACTGTCGTCCTTTGACGGGTGGATCTGTTCTATAAGCCGCTGCACAATCTTCTCCTCGTTGAGCCACTGGGGGTGAGAAGGAAGGTGGGCGGGCCGTGAGCGGTGCCCCCCAGCCCAGTGCCCTCCCCCGGCCCTCCCGGGCCCCCCCGGCCCCACGCTCACGTTGACCACATCCTGCCTCAGCTGTGGACGCTCCACGCAGGTGAGGAGACGCAGCAGGAGGTCCATGATGGCCGAGGTGCCGATATGCCGCAGCAGCAGGTCCACAAAGTCGTCCTTCTTCCGCAGGAAGGACACGAGCTGGGGACGGGAGGGACAGCGCGCGTCGCACGGCAGGGCCCGGGGCCTGTGCCCGCCTGCTCACCTGCCTGCACACCGGCCGGGGCTTCGGGTTGGCGGTACCTGGTCCGTCTTGCGGTTGATAAGGACGCCCATGACCTTGCTGAAGAAGCTGGCCAGCAGGGGGTTGAGGCTGCTTCTGCTCTGCAGGAAGCCGTAGAGCCGGTTCAGGAGGGCCTCGTCGGCGCCCAGCGCGTCGTTGATCTGGGGCACGTCTGAGGTCAGGATCTCACAGGCCACGCTGGGGTACCTGGGGGGGGCGGTTCACATCCAGAAAGGGTGGCCGATGCCAGGGAAGCCCCCCACGCCCTCCTGTCGGGACCCACACGTGGCTCCCACGGCCCCCGGGGCTCCAGCCGCCCCTCCCTGAGACCCCACTTCACCCCTCGCCGCCCCTCCCGCACCCGCACAGGCCCAGCAGCCCAGCCGGGAGGCGCCAGGAGCAGCAGGCCGGGGCAGCCCCGGGGGCCGAGCGGGCAGGGGCTCACTTGTAGCGCAACCGCTCCTCGCCACTGGCCGGCGGCTCCTGGGTGACCCAGGCCACCATGGCCTGCAGGTGCGGCGGCTGCAGCAGGAAGTCCAGTAGCTTGCGGTTGACGACCTTGCACTCCTGCAGCACGTCCTCCTCGTCCAGGAGCTCGGGCAGACTCAGGTCCTCCCGCTCCAGAAGCGTGTCCAGGTGTGAGCTCGTGTGCAGGTCAAACTTCCAAAACATGGCGCCCTGAGGGCAGGGCTGCGGGTCACACGCCGGGCCCTGCCTGCCCCACACCCTCCACCTCAGCCACCGATCACCCGGACGACCGTGACAGCCTGCCAGGCCACCCTGGAGTCCAGGGGTCACTTCACGGCGCAGGCCAGTTGCCCATCCTGACCGCCCCTCGGCCCCCAGGCCCCACAAAGGAGAGCCCTGCGCAGAGCCATCGCGATCCTGTCGTCCTCCGTCCCCCGTCTGGGCAGGGACCCCCCGGGGCGGGGCTGGAACCATGCTCTCCTGAAGCCTCGGGCATCGGACTCACTGAACAAATTCAAATGCCCCACGGCCGCCAGCCCGGGGCTGCCTTCCAACATGGCAAATCACCACTTGCGGGGTGTGGGGCGGTGGCAGGGGGAAGTCTAAGATGTCCCCAGGCTGTGGCTGTTGCCTGGATGCTGCACACACACAAACACACCCAACCCCCCACCCAGTGGCTGGACAAGGAAGAGGACAAGTGGGGGAGGCGGGCCTTTCAGAAGAGCCCCTGACGGGGCCCAAAGGAGCCAGGACGGTCAGTGACTCGGTGGGGAGGAGGACAAGGCTGTCTCGCAGCCCCTGCAGAATGGCGCCCTGGTCCCCAGCCAGCACCGGGACCCTGCGTGCCCCGACCCACCCCAGCACAGGTGGCTAGCTGCCGTCGGGAGCACCCACTAGGTGTTCTCTGTGCACACGCACCCAGACGCTCCTCTGAGGGGCCTACGGGCTCCCCGTCCAGACCAGCGCGAGGCCCGCCCTGCACGTGCCACCAAGCTCCCCGCCCACGCGTTCCCACTCTCTCCGTCCCCCCCGCAGAGCACCCACATGCCCCTCGGAGGGGCTGTTGCCGCCCCACTGCCAGGAAGTCGGGGGCTCCCAGCACCACACAGGCGGGGGCCAGAGCTGACACGCGTCACCTGCCTCGCGGAGACCACTGGAGGCAGAGGCCACGGAGGACAGACCGAGAGGCCCCGGGCACCTCCCGGACCCACAGATGGCAGTCCCTCTCCTACGTGCCCTCCCTCGCCCTGTCTGCCCACAGCCCCCGACCACAGAAAACTCGTCAGCCACAGAAGGAGCCCCAGCCCAGAGCAGAGCACAGCTCTGACCTGACTCAGGAAGCAGCCGGGACTTAAGGCCAGGGCAGAGCAGGGCACGTGTGGCCTCGGGCAGGACTGGCCTCCTGAGCCTCGGTCCCTTCAAGACACCGCCTCCAGCACCAGCCCTCCCTTCCGGCCTCCGCAGGAGACACTCACCTCCCAGCGTCCTCCCCACCCTCCGTGACCGGGAGCAAGTGGCTCTAAATCCGCAGTGACCCCAGACCCGGGACGGCTGCAGGTGGAGGACTCATGGTCAGGGAAGACAGCAGCAAGCGCCAGGCGCCAGTGGGGGCAGCGGGGACATCCACGAGGCTTCCACGCCCCGTCCCCCAGGGACTCGCTCCTTAGCCCTACGCCCTTCACCCCACGTTGGCCACTCTCCTGAAACACAAACTGGAGTGTCTGATGTTCACTCCTGGCCAAATGCCCAAAAGGGCTCCTTAGGTCTCCACACTCGGGACCCCAGGGCCCGGCCAGCCTTCCAGCCCCGCTCGGGCCAAGCCCAGCGTCCACTTGGACCTCCAGCTCCCGCGGCGTCCACTGTCACACGCCCGCCGGCCACGTCGGCCGAGGGTGCACACCTGCCGGGCCCCTGGGCAGGCCTGCCTCCCCTGGGACCTCCCCCTCCCCGAGCAAGCGGCAGCCCGGCTCCTCCCACGTCGTCCTGCGGTGCCATCTTGGGGCGCCGCCCCAGCCTGGGGCTCTCCTGAGGAGGTCCCTGCGAGCGCCACGCTGGGCACCTAGGCCTCCCGGCATCACTCGACTGTGACCCAGACGGGACGGCCACACGCCGCGCTGGCCGCGGTGCTGACGGCGCTCTCCGGCTCGGCTCAGCTCCTTCACCCCTGAGGAAGGCACGACGGCCCCATCTTACAGGTGAGGGAGCTGAGGCGCACCAAGGCAGCTGCCCACCCAGGCCCAGGTTTGCGCAGGCTTCTGGGCCCGGGCCCCCGCCCATCCCCGGCCACCGGAAACCTCGGGGCTTCTGTCCACCTGCTCGGCCCTCCCCCCGACCAGGCCCCGTCGCCTCTCCGGTCTGCCCTGTGCTCTCCGCATTCCACTGCACAGGCTTCCAGGCAGAGCTGGCTTCGAGGACCTGCCCATGTCTGGTCTGTGCTCAGGCGCCCAGGGGCTTCCCTCCACGTCAAATGCCTCCAAATCCTGCCCTGGCTGTCCTCACCCGCACCCACAAACTGGCCTTTCTGGATGCAGAGTACACCACACCTGGGGTCTGCTCAGCAACTGTGTTCTTGCGCCTCGCCTGCCTGGGACGCCCCAGTATCGGGCTGCTCCTCCTCCTCCTCCTCGGGGTCTCCTGCCGGGCAGTCCTGCGGCCCCACCTCCATCCACCACCCACATCCATAAGCCTACATGACGGGTTCGCCGTCACACAGCGCACGTGCCCGACCGGACAACGATCCACACAGGCACCACCATCCTCGCTGGGCCGACAACCTCAGAAACACCAGCAGAAAGGCACCCCCTCTGTACCCCCACGTGTTATCAGGCCCCTGCCCCTCTGAGGCAGCAGGCGACATCCCTGCCAGGACATCACTCCCACCCAATCACCCCCCAGCCATCTTTAAGCCACCGTCACGCAGGCGGGGGGGGGGGGGGGCAGGGAGCACTGGGAGCAAACATCACCCCAACCCTGAGGTGCTCAGCGACCTTCCTTTGCAGGCCAGCAACTCCCTCCTTTTGCCCGGCTCCCAGACCTTCTCCGGGAACCCTTCCACAGCTAATGGACATCCTCCCTCACTTGATGACAAGGCCGTGACAGGGCTCATGCCACAGGTGAGAAAACGAAGGCCCAGCCCCACGGCGCTGGTGGCCCGCGCGGGCACATGTCCTGAGCTGGAGGAAGCCGGGACCAGAACCGCCTCAAGGGGCAGCCACCACCCAGGGCCACAAGGAGCTCTGTGGGGTGAGCACTCCACCTCCTCCCACATCGGACCCGACGAGGAGACCAGAGGGTTCCAAAGGCCACCTGCGCAGAGTGAACGAAGCCAGTCACCAAGGACCACGTGTTGCAGGACTCCGTTTACGAGAAATGTCCGGAAGACACAAATCCGGGGACAGAAGCAGGAGCTGGGGAAGCCGGTGCAGGGGGGTGGGGGGTGGGGGTGAGGAATACCTGCTAACAGGTAAGCGACTTTCTTCTGGGAAAAGCATGTTTAAAGTAAAAACAACCAGGGCGCGTGGGTGGCTCAGTCATTAAGCATCTGCCTTCGGCTCAGGTCACAATCCCGGGGTCCTGAGATCGAGTCCCGCATCGGGCTCTCTGCTCAGTGGGAAGCCTGCTTCGCCCTCTCCCACTCCCCCTGCTTGTGTTCCCTCTCTTGCTGTGTCTCTCTCTGTCAAATAAATCAATAAAATCTTTTAAAAAATAAAATAAAAACAACCAAGAGTTCTGAAATTGTCCACATTTTTCTGAATTATACCTCAGTAAAAAAACCCCACTACGGTGACGGCTGCACGGTTCTGAATACACCAGAAACCACTGACTTGTGCACTTTAAATAGATGAATCACACGACATACGAATTACATCTCAACAAAAACCATGACCAAAAACAAAACCACAGTTGCCCAAGGCTGCGGTGACAGGGCCGGGCCCAGGCCTTGTTGTGTGTCCAAGTCACCGGGAGCTCCTACAAGACAGCAGCCTCCATCCAGAAGAGCGGAGGCACAGAAAGCGTGCCTAGGTTCCCTCCCCCACCGTCCCTGTCAGTGTCCCTGAGCTAAGTGGGGGAGGGAGGCCCCACAGCTGAGGGACGGGGGGGGGACAGGGCCCAGCCCATGTCTCCTGAAACCCTGTGCACCCACACGGGTACCCTGTCTCCATGCCGAGACGAGGAGGTGAAGCATGATCATGATTCCCACTCCACAGTCGTGGAGACAGGGGTCCCCAGGGACAGAGCCAAGGCCACCGAGAAGCAGGAGCAGGACTCGCCTGCCCTGCTCTCCTGACTACAGGTGGAACTTCTTGACCCACCCGCTTCCAAAGCACCTAGTTAGAGGGCCGGGCTCCGGGCACCACCCCCAAACCTCCACAGCAGGTCCGCTTGGTACGGCAGGTAGGGCTTCCTTCCCCAAGCGGGCTTTCCAGAGAACTGGTGTGGGGGGGTGATGGGTGGGGCCACCCACAGTAAGACAGGAGGTGCTGGGTGGTGCGGGGTACTCAGACCCAGGCAGCCCCTTAAACTCTCCCTCAGGTGGCTCCTCCAAAAATCAGAGGAGCCTGCAAGGACCAGATGCAAGCAGGTGGTGGTGGGCACCCTACAGACATCACTTCGCAAGCTCTGCACAGAACAGAGATGCGGATACGCAAGAACTAAACACACACACACTCTCAAGTGCTGACGGCCAACCCCATCTTCCCACTTAGCAGAACTTGCTGGAAGCCCTGGGAATAGGACGGACAGGAGAGGGGGTTCCATTCTCATTCTCTAACGGGGTGAACCCAGCACCTGGCATCCCCATCTGTGAAATGGGGCCACGCTGTCAGGACCGCCAGCTCAGGCAGAGGTCCCTGACCGTGTGGAAGCCCGGACACCCTAGCAGGAGGGAAGGAGCCAGCCAAGAACCCGGGGGTGACGGCTCTAAACACAGAGAACCTGGACAAAGACTGCCCCCCCATCTGCCTGAGCGGCCCAGGTCATTCAGACGCTCTGGCAGGCGCCACCCCCACCCCACCCCCACCCATGCAACTTTGAGCAACCCTCAAGAAAGCGGAAGTGACTAGCACTGGCTCTCAGCGGCAGTTTGAACACCATGACTGGCTGCAAACGGAAGAAGGGGAAACCGTAAGCGCGAAAGGAAGCCATTAAACACGAGAACGACCTCTCCCTCCACCAGCCTGGCACCACGGCCTCCGGTTTCTTGCTCTGCTGGGTCGTCCTTAGGCTCTTGACGCCAGCTGCCCTTTCAAGAGCCTGCCGGCCCCTGCCCTGGCTCCGGCAGGGCCTGGGGCAGCTCCCGGGACGGCCGCTGCCACGGCCTCTATCTGCCCAGACACAGCTCTGCCTGCCAGGGAGCCCATGGGCAGGCCCTTCATCCTCCACCCTGCCTCGCCTGCCCTGGCCCCGAAGCACCCAGAAGTGGAGGTCAAGGGCACAGAGGCCTCTGGGAGGCCTGAGCTGCCCTGAGCTGCCACCCTCAGCCATCACAGGCCCACAGGCTGCTGTGACGAGACCCGGGCTACGTGAGCCCCACGAAGGGAGAGAACCCACTACCGAAAGGCCAGCCCCAGCCCCTTGCAGGGCTCCACAGGCCCAAGGACGGTGAGACCACCTCCCTCAAGTCCCCCCAGCCAACTGTCAGCTCTCTGCCAAGTCTGGAAAGGGGGTAGGGGACTTGGATTCCAAGGACAGGATAACAGTAATGGCGACCCCATGACCTCTGAGGAGGACCCCATGACCTCTGAGGAGGACCCCACGTGTGTGTGTCGGATGCAGAACCCAGCACAGACGTAGTAGGGTGGGCAGCAGGACGCCCACGTGGGACAAGGGGCGGGCCTGGCCAGAGCCACAGAGGACGATGAGCTGGGACTTTCCCATGGCTTGGGAAAGCCTGGGAGGGATCCCCAGTTAGGGGACAGCCCAAAGCACAGTCTCCCAAGGGAGGTGGCCACTCTGGTCCAACCCCGGGGATAGAATAATTAGGAAACAGAATGTAGACCCCAGGCCAAGGACCTAGGGGACTGAGAGCTCACATTCAGGACCATCTCCTGGATCAGTTACGGGTTCCCAGGAGGAAAAGAACAGAACTAACTGACTCTGAAATAGCACTTGGAACACAAGGAGGAGCAGACTTGGGTGTTCCAGGGTGATCCAAAGTCAGAAAAGCCTAGGCTCCAATCCTGCCTCTCCAAATTTAATCCCTGTGGCCTTGGACCAGGTCCTACCAGCACCGAGCCTCAGCCTCCTCACTTGGGAGACACCTCACAGTGACTGGAGGACCGCACCTCCCACGGGAAGACCCATAAAACAGTGTTCAAAGAGAAAGGAGCTTTGGCCTGGAAAGGAGGGCGTGTCCCCACTCCCCACGTGCTGAGCCTGCCCTAGAGAGCTGGTGAGCCAGGGATGCCAGGAAGGCCCTATTTCTCACCAGAGCTCCCGGGCCTCTCTCACCTCATCTCTTGCGGCAACCCGCATGGCGCTCAATACTCCCGCCACACCTGACTGCTTGTAGGCACCCTCGCCTCTGCCCTGCCTGGCTGCTCCCTCTGCCTCCCCTCCAGCTCTCGGAGCCTGAATAGCTCCTCCTGGGTCCTTCAGGCTTCAGCACAGACACCACTTCCTCCAGGAAGCCTCCCCTGACTGCGTCAGGGGCCTGCTCCACGCTTCCACAGCTTCCGTGGTCACCCTATGACAGCGTCTGAGCGCTCTGTGACAGGATTCGCCCCTCCTGTCACCTGCCTCCCTCTGCAGAAGGCCAGACCGACAGCTAGAAACGCTTGTTGAATTAATAAAAAACCGAAATCCAGAAGGGGAAAGTGACCCGCTAAAGTCACTTTCCACAGATCCTGGAAAAAAGTGCTGGTGTTGGGGGGATGAGGGGGGGAACCAGCAGGTTCTCCTCTAATGCAGAAAAACAGCAGGTGACCCAACAAAAATCACCAAAAACACGAAAGTAAATCAAAACACACAGCTTAGAACACACAGCCGCTGATGGGTGCCAACAGGGCAGATGAGACAAAACTACACGATGCCCAAGCAAGAGAGCGGGGTTTGTCCCCCGAAACACTACGGACATTCGGGGCTGGAAGATCCTCCTGTGGGGAGGGGCTGTCCTGTGCTCTGGGCGATGGCGAGACCCCACCGGGTAACCGGGAGCACCCCCCTCGTTGTAACCTCCGCCGCCGTCTCCTGCCATCGCCAAACGTCCCCTGGGGGGCACAATCGTCCCTGAGGGCCACTGCAACAGATAATCCCAAACCCAGTAATCATCGTCGGAGCCACTGCCTTGCATTCTGCTACAGGCTTCCAGACAGTCCGCCGCATCCCCAGAGCCACCGAATGAGAAGAGCCCTGACGTCAGCACCAGTCTACACCCCACTCAAGTTTCTTTACAACTCCGAACCCCGCACCACACCTAACACAGCTTCCCTTGCAGAAACCTCCTGCCTTTCAGGCCGGTGTTCCCCTCTGTGGCCTCCGCGCAGGCACTGGGGTGCCCAGGGGCACACGAGAAAGGACCCTAACCCGGAGGTCACATTCAAGGGTCTGGACGGGCGGCGGCACCAAGGTCCTCCCCCTCCCCACCCTTGTGCCCCCAGTGCCGGGCCCCCACCTTCAGAGACTTGCACGCGCTGCTCCTTCCACCCGGAAGGCCCCGCTTCCCACTCTCCATCTGTCAAGCCCTCCCGTCCCTCCCAAACAGCAAGCGCCAGCGCTGAGCCAGCCTCACCGGGCCCTCCGCGGCCGCCCGCAGGCCCGAGCCACCTCCATCACAACACCACTGATTGTGACCGGCCGGCCGGGCCTTTATGTCCCCTCCCTCCGCCGCCTGCCCTCACGGAACTGGGGCCGCTTCCCGGGCCCTCCGCGCACGTTCAGCCGGGCAGGGCGCACGGAGCGCCCTACTGCTCCGGTGGGCCTGAGCCCGGGCCGGGGAGGCTGAGAGCAGGAAGGGGGTGCTCCCGGGGAGGGGGCCGGGAGGAAACGGCGGAGAAGCCCCAGGGCTGGGGGCTGGGTCCGAGGAGGCTAAGCCGGCCTGGAGGAGAGACTGGGGAGGTGGGCTGCTGCGAGGAGACTAAGGAGCTTGGGGCGGGGGGGGGGGGGAGGTGTCCCGCGGACTGAGGGGGCGCAGGGGCGGGGGGCCCGCGGCGGCCGCTCACCTGCGCGGGGGGGCGGCGGCTCCTCGCACTCGGGGCTCATCGGGGCGCCCCCCCCGCCCCGCCGCCGGAGGCTCCGGCCCCTGCTCAGGGGCCCGGTATGAGGGGGCGGGGGGCGGCGGCGGGGGCTCGCGCTCGCGCACGCGCCTTCGGGCCTGGCGGGGGACCCCGGCGCGCCGAGCCGCGGGCTTCGGGGGGCGGCGCCGGCTGCGAGCGGGCGGAGGCGGAGGTCCGGGGCCCGCCGGCGGCCGGGGAGCGCGGGGAGGTCAGCGCGGTCGCGAGGCCCACGGAGGCCCTCGGCGGGGAAGTCGCCCCGGCTGGCCCGGGCCGGCCCGGCGCGGCGCGGGAAAGCAAAGGCCGGTCAGGGAAGACGCTTCCCTGCACAGGCCGCACAGGCCGCGGCGCTGAGCAGCGGCCGACGGAAGCCGAGGCCCACCTCCCTGGCCGCCCCTTTCCCCAAACCGGCTGGATCTCCGGGCTCTGCAGTCCGCTCGGGGCCTCCGACGCCCGGCTCCGTCCGCCACTATCCCATAATCCCCTAGCGCGGGGGCACGCAGGAAGCCCCGCCCACCCGCCGCCGTCCCGGTGCGCGGAGGCCGCGCGCCCGGGCCCGGCAGTGCGCGTGCGCGTGCGCGCGGAGGCCCGGCCGCTCCCTACGGGCCCCGCCGGCGCAGGGCGCAGCTGCGCTTGCGCTGGTTTGGGCCAACGGCCTCTCCCCGAATAAACCCAGACAACCCAATGCGCAAGCGCCACTGCGCGCCGCCGGCGCTTCTCTACGACTCCGCTCCAAAGTGCAGAGTAAATCCTGCTCCAGGATTTCTCTTCCCGCTCGCTCCTTTTGGAAATCCATTCGCTACTCCGTCTCGTCCAATTACAGTCCTGCTTTGGCTCCAGGGTCCAGCTCCTGGGTAATCTACACCGGGTTTCCCCTCCGGCCAAGGCTCCGCGCTCTGATCCCGCGCGGTTCTTGACGCCTTCTCGACTGCAGGCTGACTTCGGTCCCACCTGCACGCCTTCGCCGGGGCCTTGTCTTACTGTTGCTTCAGTGTCCCCAGCTTTCATGTCCCCCATGCCCATGTTACAGGCCCACCGTAAGGATCAGACGAGCGAGTGCGTGTACTGACTCAGCTTCCATTTTTCAACCAGCAGATTTACTTTTTCTTTAAATTTCAGAGACATTTTATTGAATCGTATGGTTGAGTACATTTTCCTGTACTAGTTTGTTCTCCATTTCAAGGATGCCAATTATGCATTTGGCCTTCACATCTTAGCTTCTCTCTCCTCGCTTTAACGATCTTTGTCATTTCCTTTTTTTTTTTTTTAAAGATTTTACTTATTTATTTGACAGAGAGATAGCAAGAGCAGGAACACAAGCAGAGGGAGTGGGTGAGGGAGAAGCAGACCTCCTGCCGAGCAGGGAGCCTGATGTGGGACTCGATCCCAGGACCCCGGGATCATGACCTGAGCCGAAGGCAGACGCTTCACGACTGAGCCACCCAGGCGCCCTGATCTTTGTCATTTCCACCTGTGTCCACTTATAATCATATGTCTCTTCTGGGCCTTGCTATTTCCAGTGTATTTGTTGCATGGGACGTTTTTTGGTCCTTGTAACAGCTACCTACTGCCGTGTGACGGTCACCACCTGCCAGCCTGGGTCAGGTTCACAGCTTGGAGCTTCCATTGTGAAGGGTGGTGACAAGGCTGGTTCTGCAAGGCTGGATCTGCTTCCCAGGTCTCTCATATTCTGGCACCATAGGCTACCGAGGACACCATCTCATAAGGAAAGGCAGAAGCACCTGAGGTCAAGCCCATCTGTTAGCACATTTCAAGTCCCTGGTTGTCTCACCTCGCTCCCATCCTTTGGTCAAAGCAAGTCACACGATCAAGCCCAGAGTCGTGGGACAGGCATTTACACTGCACACCCCACGGGGTAGGAAAGTGTAGTGCTCTCATGGAGGTGGAATGGGAAGGAGCAAGTATTTCCTGAACAATCTACCACAGTCCTCTGTTTCCTTAGTTTTGCCAATCTTACCTTTTCATCTGTGGGGTTTTATTTTATTTTATTTTTTAAAGATTTTATTTATTCATTTGAGACACAGAGATACAGAGAGAGAGAGAGTGTGTGTACAGGGGGAGAGGCAGAGGGAGAGGGAGAAGCAGGCTCCCCGCTGAGCCAGGAGCCCGATGCGGGGCTCGGTCCCAGGACCCCGGGATCCCGACCTGAGCCAAAGGCAGACACCCAACCATCTGAGCCACCCAGGCACCCCTGTGGGGTTTTATTTTAAAATGGGCCCAGGTTCCTATTGTTATTCAGCTTGAAGCAAGGGGGAGGCATTTCTTTCTGTTCCTTGAGTCACCTTTTCCTCTGTCCCGTTCTTTTGTCTTTTACTCAGCATTCTGCTTGGTTTTTTTCCGCCAATAGATTGCACAGTTGCCATATTATTTTAACACATAAATTCAGGAACTGAGGGACAGGGGTGTAGCCATATTCAACCACCAAATGAAACCTGAGAAGTTGACATGGTCAGTCTGGAAGAACCTGGAAGCTGCAGGAGCTTTAAGGACTGAAATCTGTGTCTCCACCCTATCAGAACTCACAGGTTGACCATACTGTTACGTGCATTAGAACTGGAAGGGGCAGGGCGCCTGGGTGACTCAGTCAGTTAAGCATGGGACTCGGTTTCAGCTCAGGTCATGATCTCGGGGTCGTGGGATGGAGCCCTGGGTTGAGCTCTGTGCTCAGCGGGGAGTCTGCTTGAGATTCTCTCCCTCCCTCTCCTTCTGCCCCTCCCCTGCTTGCGTGGGCACACACTCTCTCTCAAATAAATCTTAAAAAAAAAAAAAAATTGGAAGCGGCTTCTTAAAGTGTCTGGTGCGAACACCCATTCCCCATTGTTCACATTTCCATAGGGAGTAACTTCAGCCGCTTAGTGTCTTTCTCCTGGCCTCTCCACCCCTCCCAGGGGCTGAGGAACAATTTGCCAGATTGGATGGGCGTCGTGGCTCACTCCAGCTCTCCCTCTCTCAGAGCCCGCCTGCCCAGTGTCTGGCCTGCTGCACCCAGGGGAAGGCCTGTGCTTATCCAGTGCTGTGACCAGACAGGCAAGCATGTCTAATGCTGGGGTGTGGTGGCAGCAAGACTAAAGCCACTTCCTCTGATCGGTGCTAAAAGTAATAAAGATGATACCTGATCTCCAATTCTCGGATCCTGTAGCTACCTTTCGCTTTATCCTGAATTTGGGTGAAAATAACTGGTCCCGGGTGCCTGGGTGGCTCAGATGGTTGGGCGTCTGCCTTCGGCTCGGGTCGTGATCCCAGGGTCCCGGGATCGAGTCCCGCATCGGGCTCCGTGCTCCTTGGGAGCCTGCTTCTCCCTCTGCCTTTCTCTCTCCCTCTGTCTCTCATGAATGAATGAATGAATGAATGAATGAATGAATGAATGAATGAATAACGGGTCCCTCCCAAATCCCAGGAGTACGAGTAAATCCCACACGAGAGGAATTCGTCTACATCAAATGGAGCTCGGAAGCCAGAATGCGGGCGGAGGAGCACAGCTTTGTCTGAGACCTGGCTTTGTGAACTTTTGCCCACGGTTCAACCACCCTGGGCTCGGATTCCTCGCGTGAAAAACGGCCCTGGCCAGGGGCCTTGGTTGCAAATGATGAGACCCCCTTTGGCTAAACTGACAAGGAATTCACGAAAGGAAAGGAGGCCCGTCTCACCGCCCCAAGCTCGGAGAGGGCTGGCGACGGCTCAGGGCTCTGCGGTCGGAACGGGGCCCACAACCCAGGGCACCCGACCGGCTCCCGCCTTCTCCCAGCACCAGCGCCCCAGAAGCCCCCGCGGTGCGCTCTGACTGGCGGAAGTGGAGTCACATGACGCGCCGCTGCACGGGATGCTGGGAGACAACATGGCTCCCGCCTCAGGGCGGCTAGCCTGCGTTCTTCAAACGCAGCGGCCGGAGACGACGGGTGAGCCGAAACGGAGGGCGGGTGTCCCCACGCTCCCTGTCTAGAGAGGCTGAGATGAGACACGAGGGCTCTGGACTGTAGAGAGCAGCACGTTTGTGCCCAGGCTCCGCCCGCTGCCGTCTCCTCCGTGGCTCCGCAGGTCCGCCGCGATTGTGCCCCGCCCACCCAGGCACCCTCCAGAGAGGCGATGAAGGCCGCAGTGAAGGCGTTGAGGAGAAACAGCTTTATTACAAGAACAGTGTGGACACAGAGGGGGAACGCAGGGAGAGCGTGAGCGGTGGGGTCCAAGGAGCCGGCGCCTCCCTCAGCGCCCCTTGCAGGGGCTGAGCAGACGCGGGCTGGCACGCCCTGGCCGCGCACCAGCAGGGCCCTGCTCTCCTTGGGAGGCAGGGCGCCTGGGCTTCCCGCGGAGCGGGGGTGATAAGCCCCCGGGTTTCACCGATCCATGCTGTCATCCGTCGGGCTGGAGAAACAGGTCTGTAGCAGCTTTTCGCAGAACTCCAGCTCCTCCTGGATTGGGGGACAAGAGTGGGAGCCCTGAGTGCGCAGCGGGCTCCTGCTTCCCGCGTGCTCTGCACCCAGAGATGGCTTCTCTTCCCTCCTCGCTGCCCGCCCCAGAAGCCTCCCAGGGTTCTCTGACTTCTGCTGAGGCCCACGGCTCACTGTTTCTCTTCTCACCTGTGCCTGGATTACGGAACTAGAACGGGGGTCTCCCAGAGGCCGTCCCACCCCACTGGTCTGTCCTCACCTCAGCCCCCTTGGGCTCTAACTACCCGGTATGACCGACCCCTACTAATCCCCACTTAAAATCAAAACCCCTTCTGGGGCGCCTGGGTGGCTCAGTTGGTTGGGCGACTGCCTTCGGCTCAGGTCATGATCCTGGAGTCCCGGGATCGAGTCCCGCATCGGGCTCCCTGCTCGGCGGGGAGTCTGCTTCTCCCTCTGACCCTCCTCCCTCTCATGCTCTCTGTCTCTCATTCTCTCTGTCTCAAATAAATAAATAAAATCTTAAAAAAAAAAAAAAAATCAAAACCCCTTCTACAGGTACAAACCCCAGAAACCAAGAAAGAAGCACTCACAGGTTGGACCACATGAACATAAAAGGTATCTGCATGGCAAAAAGATGCCAGAAACAAAAATGAAAGAAAAACAATTTGGGGTGAAAAATGTGCAACTTGTCAGAAAAGCCTAACATATTTAATAGTTCAACAGCTTTAATAAATCAACTGCAGAAACCACCACCCAGTAGATAAATGGGCACAGGATATGAATGAGCAGTTCACAAGAAAGGAAAGCTGTCCAACTTTACTCATGGAAGAAACGCAAATGCAAACTGGACTAGAATACTACTTTCCACCAATCAGCTTGAAAAAAAAAAAAAGTCCAATGGCTTGAGGTCCCCTTGGGCATTCTCATGGTTGGAGTGACAACTGGTTCAACCTTTATAAAGAGCAACTTGGCAATACCTAGCAAAAAGGGCCCTTAACTCTGTAAGTTCACCTTTAACCTACCTTAACCCAGCTTTTCACTTTCTGGAAATT